GACGACGGCGACGACGACGACGGCGACGACGACGACGACGACGACGACGACGACGACGGCGGCGACGACGACGACGGCGACGACGGCGACGACGACGACGGCGACGACGACGGCGACGGCGACGACGACGACGACGACGGCGACGACGACGACGACGGCGACGGCGACGGCGACGACGACGACGACGACGACGACGACGACGTTCCCAGGAGGCCGTCTGGTCCCCGTGGGGTGGTTCCCCTTGTGGGCCGCCGCGAGAGCCCCCCCCGAAGGTTCAACAAGAACCAGAAACGTGAGAAATTTGAAATTGTATGTCCTACTCCCGTCTCTCCCCTTGCCCCTCCCCTCCTCAGTCCTGGACGCCCCCCCCCCCCCAGCCGCAGGCGTATTCGTCGCGGGCCGGGTGGGCTCCCTCGTGGCGGCGATGTGCGGCCAGGGCTGGACGTGCTCGGCATTCCTTCTCCTCCTCCTCATCCTACTCCTCCTTTCCCTGCTCCTCCTCCTCCTCATGCTCCTCTCCTTTTCCCCACGGTACACTTACTCCATATGGATAAATACGTGTCCCGTGTCCCTCTCTCCCTGGATTATGTTCGAGCGGGGCCTTCCCCCCCCGCATTTTCTTGGCACGGACAGGGCTTCAAAAGTTCATGTTGTCATATTCTTCGTCTCGATCGGGACATTTATGATATTTCAAAGGTGTGTGTCCCGCTGCAGCGTTGGCCTCTTTCAGGGATCGGCGCTTGTCTCCCGTCGTTCAGAGCGGCGCTCTCGCCCCAGCGCAGGCCACATTTCTTGATCCGATACCTTTCTCGTCGTTGTTGCCCTCCTTCCCCTCCTTCGCCTTCACCTGGTCCTCCCGCTCAAGTTACTCCTGCTGCTGCTGCTGGTCCTCCTCCTCCTCCCGCCTCCTCCTCCTCCTATTCCTCCTCCTCCTCCTCCTCCTCCTCCTCCTCCTCCTCCTCCTCTGCCTCCTGTTCACTTCCTCCTCCTCCTCCTCCTCCAAAGTCCACAGCTCCCCTTCCTGATTGTGTATAATCGTTGGTTCACTCGTGGGGCCCAGGTCCGCTGTGACACCCGTCGGCTGATAGAGAACAGTCAGCACACTGGGAAAGGATGGGCGGGAGGGGTAAGATGCCAGAATTGGCACGAGCGCACCTAGCTGCCTCCTCTACAAGTACACAATATGAATACTACTCTCCTCTCTCCCCTGATGACGTCCGGAAGATATCCGACCCCCTTCCGCGTACTGTTTTTTACACGGGATTCCCGGGAATCGGGTTTTCGTTTGGGTTTTGTTTGAAAATGTTGTTCCCACTGCAGCGCTGGCCTCATTTTTGAATCGTGCTCCCGCTGCAGCGCTGGCCTCATTTTCGCGCTTCCGCTCGTTCCGAATCGTGGTCTTGCTACAGTTCTGGCCTCAGTTCCAAGCTTCCGCTTGTTCTGAATCGTGGTCCAGTACCATGCCACGGCATGGTCTTCGAGCCTTCCTAATAGGTCTCCATATCTAGAACATGCCCCCCCCCCCGAAACAACCATCGGAACTGATTACACATTCGGTGTCGATTCGTTGTTTTTTGGGGCTGCAGAAGCCCCCCCCCACTTGGGAGCGTCGCCACGCCATGCTATGTCATGCTACGCGTTGATCTTCAACACTGTGCTATGCCATGATCCGACATCCGACTGTGCGAATAGAGAGGATATCTACGCCATGGTACAGGATGGGAGGGACGGGTAGGACGCCAGATATGACGCGAGCGCACCTATCTTGCCCCTCCACCTCCTCGTCCTCCCTCTTCTCCTGGGAATACTTCCAGCTGCCTCCGAGGGCCCCAAAACGTATATGGACGCAATCTATCCCGTAAGTATGGGCGCAACTTGTATAACACAGAATTGCTCGGCACCTAAGGGCGCGACCCATGGGCGCAACCCATGGCGCCCAGAAGACTCGGAACCATGGAAGATAAAGGGGGAGTCCCCAACTGGGCTCGAGCACAGTTTGCAGTACATGTTGGTGCTCCTCCTCCTCGCCCAGAAGACCTGGAGCTTAAAGACTAGGGGGAGCCCCCATTTGGGCTCGAGCATAGTTTGGAGGACATCTCGGTACCCCTACTCCTCTTCTTCCTCCTCCTCCCCCTCCTCCTTCTCCTCCTCCATACCTTTTTAGGCGTCCCCCTCCCGGCATACCTCCTCGGCGAGGAGATTCATTCACTCACTGCACAGGCGGCCGTGAGGTAAAAGGCCCACGCCAGCCGAGCTCAGCACAGCAGGCGTTGCCCGCCAGCCAGGGCTCCATGCTTTACCGCCTTTTTCCCCTCCCAGCGCGCGTGTGGCGCGTGTCAGCCGCGTGAGCAAGCGTTTGGCGTGCCTGCCGCCCGATTTTGCGCGCACTCGGCGCGTCTGCTTCGCTGTGCCCGCGCGTCTTGCTGGACGCATGGCTTCACTGACCGAGAGGCCCTTCGGCACTCGGCCTCCGACCCCATGCGTCCGAGGGCCCGGCCTTTGGGGACGGGCGCGGCCTTCGCCCCGCTGGCGCGCCGCCCGGCCGCGCGAGCCTCGGCCCGCGGCGCCTGCGATCTGCGCTCTTCGCCGAGCGGCTGGCAAGCGAGTGGCGGCTGGCACGCGCGGCTCGGCTCGGTTCGGGGCCCAGACATTCGCCACGGGCACTGCAGCGGCGAGCATCTACCTCCTCCTCCTCCTCCTCCTCCTCCTCCTCCTCCTCCTCCTCCTCCTCCTCCTCTTGCTGCTGCGCACTCCCCTGATGACGTGAGTCGTGGTGTCCACACTTGCAACGAATACACACATGCAAAAGAAAGGGGGGAAGGGCGGCGCGCCTAGGCGCCGAACTCCGCAACGACGGGACAGAAGGCACTGTCGCCGTCGCCCGACGCCACCCAAGACGCCAACGCCCGAGCGAAGACGGAAGCGAGCGGACGAGACGGGGGGGATTCCGCTTCGCCTATGGGGCGCCGAGGCGTGTCCGCCCGATCGGATACTCTAGCCAACGCCTCAGCACCCACGGACGAGTTGGTGAGAATGCGCAAAGGGAGTGGCCCACACCACTTCCGCCCTCGCAGCACACGCTGGAGCATCCCTGCAACAGAAGCTCACAAACTTCGGGCAGGGTGGCAGGTCACGCGCCACGAGGAGGAGGGGGACCAGGGGGGACGAGGAAGGAGGCGACGTTCCTGCCAACACCTGCAAACATGAGCTTGACGCATGTGCGCAGCACCCTCTTCTGCTCATGCACACGCGCAGCCGCCTCGGGAGGATTAGTCGGCAGGCCCCACGGGTGCAGGCAAGTACGTAGTGGTCTTTCACCACTCCACCATTTGCCTCTGGGGGGGCGCACAGACTATCCCTACGACCCTCTCGGACCTGAGGAGCTCGAGGGACAGAGCTTGGCACCAGTCAGCAAGGACATATCTATCGGTGCCCCTTCTGATTTCGAAAGCCAACACTTGGACGTGGAGCCCGTACAGACCACGGAGAATATAATCAAAATCGCCAGGGCTCGCACATCCACTACCATAGTGAATGAACTTCGCCTGGCCCAACGCATGGCTTACGCTGGCCGAAGGAACTTCAACGGGCATCTGTCGCGCGGTAGGCCAGACTCGCTGGACCATCTCGGCTGGCGCTCCTTTGAGGCCAGGCCCACAAACTCGGGAAGCTCTCCTGACAGCCGTTGTAGAACGCAGCCCAGCAGCCCGCATCTGCGCGGCATGTTCTCTGCCCTGCGCCTTATGCCTCTCGACCGCTTCTTCGCTGGGGGGCGAGAGGTGGGCGCGCAAGACGCTGGGGCACGTAGCGCTACCGCGTCGCAAGTGCTTGAGAAGCCGAACCCTAGATGTGAAATCGGTCATGCACGACTGGCGCGCACTGCCGCTGGCCACCGTCTGTGCCACATCAAATTTGTGCTCTTCGACCCGGTGAGTAGTCCATCCGGCAGGGTTGGTGAAAGCAGCGGGGCACTAGGGGCAGAAATGTTGCACATCTCCTCTCACCTGCTCACAAGAGGAAGGGACGGGCAGTTGCGATCCACAGCGCGCCTTGAGAATATCGCGTCGCCACATCATGCGGCGCCTAAAGTCTCGAGACTCCCGCGAGACGCGGCGTTCAGCTTGCCGCGCGCAACCCAACCATTTGGGCGGGTCACCACGCGCGATGGCTAACAGGGCCCACGGCGGAGGGACAAGCGAGTCGCGAAGCGATGGAAAGAGACAAGGGCGAACATCCTCGAGATCACGCAAGAGAGCGCGCGCCCACGTACCAGCGCACACGCGCAAATAATCGAGCGCACGCAGGGCAGAAGGAGGGTGCGATGCGATGACCCTGCCGACCAGATGCAGCCTTCTGATCCTGACCAGGTCGACGATGTCAAAACGCTTAGCGTGGTACAACACAGTCTTCCGAAAGCGTGCGTGGCCCAATCTTCTCGAGGTGTCTTGGCGCGCAAGCGCGCAGAGAGGCCACGTGCGCATGGCGCAAACACTCGAGGTCCTCAACCTTTAAGTCTCTCCACGTGCCAGCGTTTTAAAGCAACCTAGACGAGCGCCAGCTACTAACGCACGCGAGCTTTCTAGGCATATCAAGGAAGGGATTATCAAGCACAGTCCTTCGCAGGGGGCCAAGGGTGCCAAGCTGCTGCGAGCCGCGATGCGCGATCTCAGGGCCAACCATTTGGGTGCGATGCACCATGCTACCCAGGTACTTGTACTGATCAACTTTCTGGATACTGATGCCGTACCTGCCATCGTCGAAATGTGGCCCGGCCTCGTGGGACTTCCTGACCTGCGCACACTTACTGCTCGTAAAACAAACCGCAGCCGCGGATTTTCCAGGGAGGTAGTTGGCTCCGAACCCCCTCTTGGTAGCTTCTTCGCGCACACGCGCAGCCATGCATCGGGGCACCCCTTCCCTTTTCGGCATGTTTTCTGACGCCGGCGACAGTCAGCAGGTCATCAACGTCGGCCGGCCCATGGAGCGGTTGCCCAGTTTACTCTTCGGCCGGGCCCCGAGAGAATAATGAGGGAACATTTGCTTTTTCCGGCGCAGAAATTGCGAGGCCGACGCGCTCCATCTGCGCCTGGATAGCTCAATGCGTAGGAGCAAAAGCAGCGACAAACAGTAAGTCGCCTAGTGGCATGCCAGCTGGCGCGGCGCTCTTCGCTGTCGCCACTACTCTCGCTTGCTTAACAGAATCAGGTGCAAGCGAGGCTTTCACGCAAGAGACTTCCATGGTGGTGCCCGGGATGATCGAGGGAACCAGGAAGAGAGGCAACGGCGGAACAAACGTGCATCTGCAAGCGGAGCAGGAACGTCAAGGGTTTGACAGAACTCATCACTATAAATCGCATGCGCCTTGAAAATCAACCCTCTCAAAACACGATAGAAAGCTTTTTAAAATCGGTGAACGCAAGCTCCGCCGCATGTTTCTGACACCGCGGAAATTCGAGAGCCGTTTGAAACGCGGCATCGGCAATATCCGCGCCACGCCTCGGGAGACCCCCGCATTGACTGTCGCCCGCCACCCTCTCGACCGTTTCGGCGGTCCGCCTTCTCAACAACCCATGGTGGTGTTTAGCAGTATGCTCTCCAAGAAGTATCGCGCGATAGTTCGAGGGCAATTTGGGTGCCTTTTTTTTTGCGCAAAGGCACTTTCCGCCCGCCCATCCACGCCAGCGGTTCGGTAGAGGCGAGACCAACCTTCGTGTAAAGGGGGCGGTAGACTTCGGCAGCGAGGGCAGGGTCCACCCCAAGGATATCATTTGCTGTCATAGCTGAGCCAACTCCTCTCCGTCGAGATCCAGTCGCGATCATGGTGCATAGCTCCGCCCTGGTTGCAACGCAAGTGGAGTCATGCTCTCAACAGATTGTCTTCTGCGACCGATGCTCAGTATACGCATGCAACATATCGCTAGAACTGCAGATGGAAGCTCGTCCGCTCTTCGGAAACATGCTGATAAAGCCCGAGGCCACGTCTTTCTCGCTAGAGTAGGGACTCTCTTCATAATCCACTTTGAAGGGCAAGCTGGGATTAGAGCATTTAGTTCTCCCCCCGCCAAACGCAGCAAGCTTCCTCAAAGCACTCCACGCAGCTCGCGGATCCGATCCCCCGATCCTGTCCTTGAGCTCGGATGCGATCTCGCCAATGGCACTGACGCGAGCAGTGCGCAATGCTCTGCGCAGTTCGCGATGAGTGTCTTTCAAAAAGATAGCCAGCTGCATGATACCGCGCTCGCAACCCCACTCGCCCCCAGCCCAACCCATGACAGCACAAACAATGGGGATGGAGAAGTGGCGTGACTCGACAGGGATCTCATCCCACGGAAACGCACCTGCAATGACTTGACCCACAAAGGTTCGAGCAGGGACGGCGTCCATCCTTTTAAACGCCCTCAACACGTTCCTGACCCGCCGTCTCACACGAACAAAGCCGAGGAACCCACTGCCCACGCAGGGTTTACGGGGACGCGTTTCAGCGACGGGGATGGCAGATGCAGCAGCCTGCGCAACGAACGAGTCAAGGACAGCAGCATGTGCATTGACATCCACGTGCCAGGGCACCTGGGGAGCTCCCCGGAGGAGCTGCTTAAAGTGGCCCCGACACCCATTACCCTTGGTTTTGTCAGGGCCGCACTCCATGCCGATCCTCTCCTTGCGCACGTAGGTGCGCACAAATTCGGTATCAATTACGACAGGTAAGTGATCAAGCTTGCTACACATAGTATCAATTTCATGGATCACCCAGTGCGATTTAACAGCAGGGGCAAATTCAGCAGAGCACGCAACATAATCAACCCGATGCTGCGCACCATTGGACGCGAACCCAGTGTGACATCCGGTAGAACTGGAGGGGGGCGGGCCGGTGACGGCCTGCAAGTTGGTTTCAAGCATGCAGTCATGGAGAAGGGGGCGTTAGCATCCTGGTCTTGCTTGCGGCCCTCTCTGCCTCAACTAGAGCTAGGCGCGGATCCCACCCTCCCATTCGCATCGCATGAGGCACGCGTAATTTGCCACCTCATGGCCAAGTCTCGCGTAGTGCTCCACCATTCCCTCCGCTCAGCCATGGGCGCATCCGAATGCGGCACATGTGCAACCATGACGACCATATCTAAACACGCCCCGCTGGTTTTGACCACGAGGCGCCGAGGATCCGCCGTGAGAGCTCTCAACATATGCGGACCCAAATAGATAGGCTTCTCGTTACGATACCCGCACGGAATAACTGTGGATACCCACAGTTCACACCCAAGGTTGCGGCCTTTATCGGCCCCAGAGGAAAGGATGCCATACCCTTGGCCTTTGCGACGGCCAGCGGGGTTCCTAGCTTTTTGAACGTCAGCCAGAAGCACGCCCACGCTATGGAGCTGCGCGCGGAGCTGCTCCCCACTTCCGTGAGGCCTGTAGGCGCCCGCTCTTTCGCGATCTCTGGCCGTCAGAGAATTGTAAGTGACATCTTAAACTGAAAAGCAACCTGCCGACCTGTGCGACTTGCGGATTCAGGCGCAGCCTCAAGAGTACTGACATGCGGCACACTGTCGCAAGCATTTTCTGTTGTTGTGGCAGCGCTGGCAGAGTGGAATGCGAAACCTTGGCTGGCTGTCGGGCATTGGGCTCGCAACTTCCAAAAAGCATCATCAAGCCATCCACATTCAAGATCGCGGTGCGCTTCGAGCCCTTCCAGCAACAGCGCTGCCGGCCCGAACGAAACCCGTGACGCGTCTTCACACAGGGAACCAACGCATTTGTTCCAGGGGTTGGCAGGGTGCCCTTTTGACGCGTTGTAGGTCCAAGTTGTTTTGGCCGCTGACGAGCTCTAAGAAACGCCGAGCAAGACGAACCAACCTCGCATCAAGCGCGTGGGGGGCACGCAAACCCTGGGTTACTTCCATCGCTGCCTTGTCGTCAATGCAAGCAGTCACCTGCCCAACTACAACCTGACTGACATCGAGAGCCTGCCAAACCCACGCAAGAGCCCATATGAGCCCCAAGAGTTCGTAGTGTGTACTTGAGGCCCTATTGTGACCCATGCCTACCATATCCGTAGAGGGACTATATCCCTGCAGATGTATATCACACTCATCTGGGTCATCTGGCATTCCTAAGGCGACCAAGGCCCATCCCGATCGTTGTGCAGGTTCGGCGATGTAGGAGCCATCAGCGTAGAACCTCAGCCGCCTGGGCGCGGGGTGCGGTGTCCCAGCTATTGAAACAGCAAAAGCAGCGGCAGGGTGAAGGTGGGCTCCTTCAAAATTCATCTGCAGGCTGAGCTCGCCACGCATGCTGCGCAAGCTCCTCTCGATGGAGGCCGTGCCGCCCAAGGCCATGACCAATTGTTGTTTGTCGCCTTCCTTTCCCTGGGAAGCTACGGGGGGAATACGTCGATCGAGGCAAATAATGGGGTACCTACTGATCCGCTCTTCAGGTTCGAGGGCGCGTGGTTCCCTTGGCATCTCAGCGGCGCCGATGCTTCTGCGCATGCAACCTGAAGTCTTTTCGCAACTGCCGCCCTGTGGCTCACCACCCACATGAGCAGGCATACTAGCAGCCATGGCATTGGGCGACACTCTGCGGCGCCAGCTCGAGTGGAAATTCCTGGTTAAATACGCTGTGCAGCTTTCAGCTATGCGCTCAGCCAGGCTGATGGTGCACGCGCCTTGCCACGGCCTGACAGTCGTCAAGAGGCCGACGATGTGTTCCAAGACGGAATGCATAGAAAGCGCCATGGGTGCCGCACACTGCAAACCATGAGAACACACTAACTGCGGAATAATATTAACTGCTTCTACTAGATCGTCTGACACCGCCTGGTCCCGTGTGCCCGCATCGAACAAAGGGCTATCACCTCTGTCGTGTGGCAGCACGTCTCGACTTTCGCAGGCGCGCGGGTGCCTGTGCTTACCCGCACTTCCCGAAGAGGCCGATCGAGC